ACGCTCAGGCCACGCCCACAGGGAGCCACACCCACAAATCTGCACGCCTGTTTGGCCACACCCATTAAACCACACCCAATTGTGAAGCCACGCCCACCACAGGCCACACCCACTATTTGAATGTGGTTAAGCCCCGCCCCCTCACCTGTTTCTTCATCTTCTTCTTCTCCTTTTTGCTGATTCGCGGATCCGGCCCCGCCCTTGGCCCCGCCCCTTCCTCCTGCTCCTGGGGAGGGACCCAAAAACATCCCATAATAACCCAAAATACCCCAAAATACCCCAGAATATCCCCAGAATAACCCAAAAACATCCAAAACATCCCAAAATAACCCAAAATATCCCCAGAATAACCCAAACCATCCAAAACATCCCAAAATAACCCAAAATACCCCAAAATATCCCCAGAATAACCCAAAAACATCCAAAACATCCCAAAATAACCCAAAATACCCCAAAATACCCCAAAATATCCCCAGAATAACCCAAAATATCCCAAAAACATCCAAAACATCCCAAAATAACCCAAAATAACCCAAAATACCCCAAAATATCCCCAGAATAACCCAAAATATCCCAAAAACATCCAAAACATCCCAAAATAGCCCAAAATATTCCAAAATATCCCAAAAACCCCCAAAATAGCCCAAAACATCCTAAAATATCTTTAAATATCCCAAAATACCCCAAAATATCCCCAAAACATCCAAAAATACCCCAAAATATCCCAAAAATCTCCAAAATATTCCAAAATATCCCAAACCCCCCCAAAACATTTCAAAAAACCCCAAAATATCCCAAAAATCTCCAAAATATCTCAAATTTATCCCAAATGACCTCAAAATATCAAAAAAAACCCCAAAATATCCCCAAAATCCCATAAATATTTCAAAATATCCCCAAAATACAAAAAAAACCCCAAAATATCCCCAAAATCCCATAAATATTTCAAAATATCCCCAAAATATCCCCAAAATATCCCGAAAATATCCCAAAAAAATCTTAAAATATTTTAAAATTTAGTATTTTATTCAGTATTTTATTCAATATTTTACAATAACCTCAAAAAAACCCCCAAAATATCCCCAAAATATCTTAAAATATTTTAAAATTTAATATTTTATTCAGTATTTTATTAAATACTTTAAAATACTCTCAAAAAAAACCCCAAAATATCCCCCGAATATCCCAAAATATCCCAAAAATCCCCTAAATTTCCCAAAATATCCCCTGAATATCCCAAAAATATCTTAAAATATTTTAAAATTTAGTATTTTATTTAATATTTTAAAATAACCTCAAAAAAATCCCCAAAATATCCCCAAAAATCCCCAAAATATCCCAAAATATCCCCAAAATATTTTAAAATTTAATATTTTATTCAGTATTTTATTTAATAATTTAAAATACCCCCCCAAAAAAACCTAAAATATCCCAAAAATCCCCAAAATTTCCCAAAATTTCCCCAAAATCCCCTCGGGGGCCCCTCCCCCCACCCCAAACTCACGTTCTCGCTTCCCTTCCGGGCTCCTTCCTCTTCCTCCTCCTCCTCCTCTTCCTCCTCCTCCTCCTCGTCCCTCAGGGCTCCAAATTTGTTCTGTCCCAAAATGGGGCAAAAATCCCAAATTTTGGGGTTTTTTCCCCTCCCCCAAAAAAACAAAAAACCCCCAAATTTCCCCTCCCCCACCTTTACCTTCCCCCCTTTGGGCTCCTCGGAGCCTTCGGCCTCCTCATCGTCGCTGCCGGGTTTTCCCTGAGGGATTTTGGGGTGGAAAATTGGGAATTAAAACCAACAAAAATTGGGGGTTTTTGGGGTTTCCTGGGAAATTTGGGAAAATCCAAAAAAAGGGGGAAAATCCCCAAAAATTCCCA